TCCCCGCCCGGGCGTGCAGCGCGGAGCCAGCGCCTCCTCCGCAAGCCGCGGCTTTCTGGCCCGGAGCCCCGGCCTCCCCCCCCCGGCCAGCCCCCGGAACGCTCCTCCGCGGCTCCCCTCCCGTCGGTCCCTCTGCTCGGTCCGTGGGACAAAGGCCGGCGGGGCGGGGCTCATCATCCAGCCGCTCCTTCAAGCAACCCTCCGCAAACGAGGTGCCAAAGGGCGTTTAGGCTGGGAACTGTGGGAGTTGGTGTCCGTCTGTCAGGGAAAAACCACGTTAAACACGGGAGACAGACACACCATAAGACGTCGCATCTGGAGGACTTGCCAGCCCTGCAGGGTAGACCAGATCAGACTGGAAGAACCGAAGTCTGCTTGATTGAGACTTTCGCCAGCCTGGTTGGGCCGCCCTCCCTCCCCTCTCATGCCCAGGGAGTGGGGAGGGGCCCGCCTGAGCCCCCTCTGGTCACAGCCTCCCTTCCCGGGCCGTAAGGACCGCTTCAGCCTCCCTCACTTACCTAACGGATCTTGCCCCTCCCTCGAGACCACCGCCCGGCATGCAGGGGGCTGCCGTGGAAGCGTCACGGAAATTCTGGCCTTTGTAGGAGGAGAGCTGTGTTAGCCAGTGGGACCCCCAAATCAGGAGGACTCCGATGGCACCTTTCCCCACTCAAATTTAAATCAGAACTTTATTACAGTCATAGACCAGCATATATAAATTTCATTAAAAGGAGGAAGCTTTTGTGTGGAGCGGAAGGAGGCAGAACGAAAACTCTGGGTGCCTTCCCTGGGACAAATAGGAATAATTTTGGGACTTGCTTGGCGTATATACACGCAAAACAACAAGCACGACCCAGTCACGAAACGCTTGCTGTTTATGTTGTTTCCCTGATGCGTGCCCTCCCACGCAAGCAGGTTTGTGTCCACATGGCACAAGACTGCGCACCTCCTTGACGTGAGCCGATCGTTCTGGTTTCTCCTCAGCCGCTTCCTGGTTCAAACAATGCTCCAGTGTGTCGGTGACGGTGGCTTATGCAATCACACGTGGGAGAAAAGGCCGTAGGGATGCTTAGCTGCAACAGGGAAGCTCTTCTCCAAAAGGCAGAGAAGCAGATGCGCTGCTGGGTAGACTTCCCGGCCCGAGAGGGCTGTGGACCATGGGGCATGATGTCCCAACCGATATGGGAGGAAAGATCCAGGAGGGAACAGAAATGGGTGCCTCTAGTCCGGTGTTTCTCAACCATGGGAACTTTAAGGCGTGTGGACTTCAACTCCCAGAATTCCCCAGCCAGGGAGAATTCCCTGGGAGGATCACCTGCTTTGCACATCTCTTCCTCCTCTGCCTAAAATCCTGCAGCCGGTCACTGTGGATCAGCTGCATTCGTCCCTGTTCCTCAGGAAGCCTCCCTAAGCGGGGTTTCTGGGTAGTAATGAATAATCTTCTGGAAATGCATCTCTAGTGATCCTCTTACGGAGTCGGGTTCCAGCTTCTCTTGCCCCAAATCTTCCACACCTTTGATGAAATATCCCTGGCATTCTTTCCTTGTTTTTTTTAATGCTGAATTTCTCAGCGAAGTAGTTCCGGCTCCCCTTGAAACCAGAAGGGAGCTATTTCCTTGCCTTGTGGTAGAATTCTAGAGCCGGGAGGGTCCCTGAGGCCATCCAGTCCACCCCCCACCCCGCTCAGGGCAGCAATCCCAGTTAAAGCAGGGCTGCCCGGCCTCTGCTTGAAGAGATGCTCATCCGCGCCCTGGGAAATGGGTCCCAATCTTGGATCGCTTCGCGTGGATCGTGTGCCGCCGAGTTGGTGTTGGCTCTTGGCGACCACGTAGGCAGGTTTAGTCTTGGAAGTTTGTTCCCCGGCTTTCAGTCAGACTCTGCCTTCCTGTAACTGAAATCCACTAGTCTCTGTCCTCCCCTCTGGAACGAGGAGTCCTGACCTGTCATCTGCTTTGGGTCAGTGTTTCTCAACCTTGGCCGCTTGAAGATGGGCGGACTTCAACTCCCAGAATTCCCCTCCCCAACCGTCTCCTTTCCAGGCAAAACCCAATTCCTTCCATCTCCTCTGGCAGCCCTTGGCTGCTGCTTCTCTGAGCAGCGTTATTGCCCGCGTGAGGGTCTGTTTCTCTGAAAGGGCCACGTGAAGCGTGCCACCGTCATCTGGAAGTTGCCTTTCCTTGGCGCGCCCCAGCTCTGCTCTTGCTGGCTCTGAAGCCACGTCAGCCTTCTGCTCGGAGTCTTGGAGGGTGACGGGGCCATGCTTTGCTCCGCCCGCCCCGCCGCCTCCTCTCGCCCCTGGGGTGGGTGGGTGGCTGCCTGGCATGCGTCCCCCTCTGTAGGTGAAAGGGCACGGGCACCACATGAGCATCTGCCTGCCAGTGCCCCTCCCTCCCCCCTCTGGGCTCCAGTAAGCCCGGCAGGCAGCCGAGCCGAGCTGCGCCTGGGGACGGCCCGCACGTGACGATGCTGGGATGAGGCCGCCTGGCCCTCCCATTGGTCGAAAAGGGTTGGGTGATGCGACAGCAGGTGCAGCAGAAGCAGCGTTGAGCAACGGGCGGCTCTAATTAAGGGGGGGACATGTCAGCCCGGAACCATCGATGGGTAAAAAACAGCCCCCCCGCCGGGAAGCACGAGGCTGTCCTCTGTGCGGCTGGCTGAGCCTGGGATTTGGGCAGGCCTGGTGGAGGAGCATCGGTGGAAAAGAGCCTGGCGGGGGGTGGGTGGGGAGGGGGAGGGTGTCCTGCTCCAGCATTGCACGGATGTCGGAAGAAGCCGGCTGCTGGTGCTTCTGACTCTGCCGTTGGCAGGACAGAAATGGGGCAGAACGGGGCAGAGTTTGCCCCCTGAGTGTGCTCCGGTGGTCTCACGCTGCTGAGTTTAAGACTTTTAGTATTTTTGCAACCTGGCATTCTTCCATATATTCTTCCCCACAAGACCTATGCAATTGGGATGCACGTGTTGCCTAAGCGGGGAAAGATTCCGGAGGAGTGAAACGGAGAACGCATCCTCCGTGTTTGCAGGAAGGCGGGTGCATTCCTTAAGCCCCCACCTTAAAGGTTCCCTCTGCGAGAAGAGATGGAAGAGGGGCTCCGGGAGGTCGTCTGAACCCAGCCTCTTAAGAGTTGCATGCCCTGAAGTTTGTTAAAACGGCGTTGCTCTTTGGTGCCGTAAACCAACAAAGGAACGTGCAAATGATAAGCAGTTGGATTTTTTAAGCGTTCTCTTTTCCAGCTTTAGTTTTGCAAGAGGTGAGGGTGCCCCTGTGCTGGGCTGAGAGTCCTGAAATGCTTCCAGGAGAGGCAGCTTTTCTTGATCCTTGGAGACCCCAGTCGAAAATCCTTCCTCATCTCTGGATCCAGTCCTGGCTGGTTCATTCAGTGCACCCTGCTTTCGCTCCTTTAAACTGTTGAGTTAGCTGCAGTTCGCTCACATAACATGCTAAGCTCTAAATCATGGTTTATAAGCCAGATTGTTATACGCTAAATTCAAGCCAGAATGTGTGAGGCCAGCTGCTGTTTCTAAGATGAATTTAACGTGAGGATTGTTGGAACAGAATAATACAGTGTTTCTCAACCTTGGCGACTTTAAGATGGGTGGGCTTCAACTCCCAATCCCCATGGCTGGCTGGGGAATTCTGGGGGCTGAAGCCCACCCATCTTAAAGTCGCCAAGGTTGAGAAACACTGGAATAATGTATTCCTTCCTTCTATTCTGGCCAGATTCCTTTCTGGCACTAATTCTTGTTTGTCCAAAGTCTGGGTTTTTTTTAGCGTCCCGTTCAAACGTTTGATCCAAGGACAAAGCAGCTTTTCTGCTGGAGGGTTGCTAAAAATACTGGAGTCTTGCCTTAACGTTGGCACATTTGCTGGCAGGAAGCGTTCACCTGTGTCTCCAACTCCCTTGTAAAAACAGGCCCTTTGACCGGCTTGGGTGTCTTTCTGGCTGAGCTTATCTGGGTGCCCGCGAGCGCGCCAAATGAGACGCAGTTGAAAAGCCAAGCCTCTTCCTGTGTGGTTTCGCCTTCTTGACGGTGCAAGTTGCCATAGACAAAGCACGCTGTGACTAATGAACACGTGAAAACGGTTAGCCTGGTGAGTTGTGCAGAACTGCCCCGTTACTTGTAACGGGAAAAGAAATCTTGGCTGATCGCCTGGGGAGACCTTTGGGCCGGGCTGTTCTCCCAGGAATTGGGGAAGGGGGAAAGAGAAGTAATTCTGGGGCGGGGGTGGCGTCTCTTCCGGTCCTCAGCACCTGCCACGATTACACCCTAACCTCTCCATTTTGTTTCTGGCCACCTGAGATCCCCTGCCACGACCTCGACTTTACACTTGGCGTAATTAATTTTTAACCAGCGTATCGAGAGTAAATAATCAAACCATCCGAAGGGAACCTGCTTGGGTTCAGATCGTAACAGGGAGGACAAGGAAGCCTTTTGACCCGGGGCGCTTCCTGCAGTGTCCCAGTGAAATGGACAGAGCCGTATTTGCGCGTGGAATACTTTCACGCGGTCCAAATGGGATTCGGAACAGGAGACGGATAATGAGTGAGTTGCACAGCGCAGCCCTTAAAACAGTGTTTCTCAACCTCAGCGGCTTTAAGATGTGTGGACTTCAACTCCCAGAACTTCCCCCAGCCGGCTATGCTGGCTGGGGGAATTCTGGGAGTTGAAGTCCACACATCTTAAAGTTGCTGAGGTTGAGAAACACTGCCTTAAAATATCTTTCTCGGGATTAGGGCAAGACAGCTTTGAAAACTGAACCCCCTGTTTGAGGGCAGTCTACCAGTGAACAACCAGGGGCACGCTGGTGCGTGCCTCATTAGCAGCCTACCCTTTCCAGGCAATACGGAAAGGCGGATGCCGGACTAGGTGGACGTTAGCCTGATCCAGCTTCAGGGAAAACCAGATTTATCGCTGACCGTGGGCCCCGAAACCTATGGGGAGCTTCCATGACCCGAGGCAGTCTAGCTGAAAATTCTAGTTGCTTGGCTCTGTGGACCCGAGGAGCCTTTTTTTGATCCGTTAGACGTTAAATGCAGTGAGTGAGTTTTAAATCAGGAAAGCCACTCCTCCCCTCGGTTGCGCCGAGGAGCTTCTCCTTCCAGAAACGTGCATAAGCAGGCCTGTGGCCAAAGCATGCGGGAAATGCCAGCGCTCTTTTTCTCAAAGAAAACCCTGGGGTTGCACAGGGTGTCTCACAGGAAGCGGATTCGCTGTGGTTTATTTGCCTGCCCGGGAGCTTTTTAGCAGAACTGGAAGTTATTTCTGACTGAGGGAGCCGAAATCATTTGCATGTTCCAGTGTGCCGGAAGCTGATTAAAACTGGTTGGGAGGAGAATTGGGGGACGACAGGCCTGGATCCATAGAAGGTTAGAGGCGGATGGGCTGACGGTGCGCCGCCAATGGCGAGGCAGCAACAGCTGTGACCTCAACTGGGGGGCACCGGCTTGACATAAAACGGGGGGGGGTCTTTATAAGCCCAGCTGCTCTCCGAAGATCATCAGGCTCCAGGTCTGAGAGCGTTTCCCGTCTCCGAAGAGGAAACAGAAGCATCTTCCCTTTTCCTGTGCCTCCCCACCCCCCCGACATTTCAACAATGGGGAAATCCAGATGTCGGGAAGGCACAAGAAAAACCCGAGTTCTTTTAGGTTGGAGAGTTAGTTTTTTTTCTGTCTCTCTCTCTCTCTCTCTCTCTCTCTCACACACACACACACACACACACACACACACACACACACACGTGCACGCACCCCGAAGAAAAAGGATTGATTTTGAATAGTTATTGGAATGTCTGGAGTTCC